AGCCCCGCTTTCCGCTGCGGCGCAGGGCGCCTTCGCTTCCGCCGCGGCGCGGGCGCTGCATGCCTGGGGCCTCCGCGGCGTTTCGCGCGCCGGGGCGGCGGCTACCTGCGCTCATGGGGGCTGGCTGCGACTCGCTCCGCGGCTGCCAGGCGAGCCGGCGGTGCGGCGCGCGATCGCGGCGGTTCGGCTTGAATGTCGAGCGGCCTCTGGGCAGAAACTGCGCGGGCGAGGCCCGCAGCCACCGAGCCGCTGGTTCGCCCGCGGCTGAAGAGGGGATGGGCCCCTGGCGCTGGCCGCTTGCCCAGCGGATGCTGGCGCACGTCGCCCCACCCTGCCCGGGCCGCGCGCCGCTGCGTCGCCTCTGGTGCCCCGGCGTCGCTCGCTGCGCTGGCGGCCTCGCTGAGCAGGTGGCGTCCCGGGGCAGCGCGGGGCAAGCCCATGGCCGCCTCCCGCTCGTGCCAGCAGGCCGCACAACGAAACAGCAATGCCCCACTGGCGGGCGCGGGATGCGCGGCCCGCGCCTCCCGCGAACACGAGAAGAAGGCAATGAAATCGCGCTCTTGCCGCGCACGTATGCCAATGCGCTCGATCCGCGGGAGGGGGCCGGAGTCGCCGCGCTCTCTCCCAGGAGGCGCTGCGCGCGCGCGCGGTGCCCCCCGCCCTGCCGTCAGCCCCCTATGCCCTGGCCCGACCCAGCCCAAAGCCGGGGCAGAAGCGACCGATCGAGCAATCTGTGGAGCGCCCATCTGTGGCAACGAAGCGTGTGAGAGGTGTGCCGAGGCGGGCCCAGCGCTGCCACTGCGGCGTTCAGTGGAGCTTCCTAGGAGGCCGCGAAACGTGTGAGGGGTGTGCCGACCTGAAGCGGCGACGCCATGCGGACCCTGGAATGTGGGCCTTAATTGGAGCTCTCTATGGAGCCACGAAACGTGCGAGGGATGCTCAAAAATGAGGCGGCGACGCCATGCGAACCCTGGCACTGGGCCCTTAGTTGGAGCTCCCTGTGGGGCCACGAAAAGTGCGAAGGGTGTTCAGAAATGAGGTGGCGACTCCATGCGAACCCTGGCAGTCAGGCCTCAGATAGAGCCCCCCTTATGGGGCCACGAAACGTGCGAAGCGTGTTCAGAAGTGAGGCGGCGACGCCATGCGTACCCTGGCATTTGGGCCGTAGTTGGAGCTCCCTATGGGGCCACGAAACGTGCGAGGGATGTTCAGAAATGAGGCGGCAACACCAAGAGGACCCTGGCAGTTGGGCCTCAGTTAGAGCCCCCCATGTGGGGCCGCGACACGCGTGAGGGGGGTGCAGGAGGCGGCGACTCCACGCAGACCCTGGCAGTCGGGCCTTGGCTGGACCTCCCGATGGGGGCACAAACCGCGTGAGGGGTGTGCAGAAATGTGCACGCGTAGAACAGAGGCAGGAGGGACGTGAGGCGGGATGGGAGGAGACACGGGGCGTTGCGGGTTCAGAACGAGGACCCAACTCGACACAGGGTGGCGCTAACAAAAAAACAACTGCGGCCGTGTGTGGAGCCCCTAGAGGGCCGCGCAAACGTTCTTACTGGGGTCTTTGGTGGGTCTCATGTAAGGGTGTGCCGAAGAGGACGGAAGTACGCATGCGAACTTCTCCTCTGATGGACGCGATCTTCGCGAGATGGGTGCGCTGAAATGTCCGGCGCCACCATGCGGACCCTCCCACTGCGGCCGTAGGTAGAGGTCGCTATGGGGCTGATGTCCTCGTGAGAGGTGTAACGGAATTTGCAGCGCCGCCTTGCTGACCCTCCCACTGGGACCGTAGGCGGAGCTCCCCCAGGGGTCCACGAAACGTGTGATGGGTATCCCGAAATGAGCACGCTGCCGCCATACGGACGCTGTCACTGGGGCCGTAGGTGGTGCTCCCTATAGGACCACAGTCCTCGCGAAGGGTGCGCCGGAATTGGAGCGCCGCCATGCGGACCCTCCCACTGAGGCCGTAGGCGGAACTCCCCATGGGATCCCGAAGCGTGTAGTGGGCGTGCCGAAGTTAGGGTTTGTACGCCATGCGTCTGCGTCCGCTGAGACCGTAGGTGGGGCTCCCTGTGGGGCCACGAGACGTGTGAGGGGTGTACCAAGTTGGGGCAGGTGCGCCATACGTCGGCGTCCACCTGCTCCACATGGTGCCATTGAAGGTGCGAGGGCGTACCGAATTGGGAGATAGTACGGCATACGTGGGCGCTCACTGAGACCGTAGCTGGACCTCCGTATCGGGCCACGAAGCGTGTGCGCGAGGGGTGTGCCGAAACGTGTGAGGGGTGTGCCAACTTGGTGAGTGACATGCCATACGTCGGCGCCCACTGAGGCCGTGGTTGGGGCTCACCATGGAGCCACGAGACGCGTGAAGGTTGTGCCAAGTGGGGGGCTGGTACGCCATGCTTCGGCGTCCACCGAAACTGTGGGTGAAGCTCCCCATAAGGACACGAAACTTTCAACATGCTGGAACTCCATGCGTCGGCGCCTACTGAGGCCGTAGGTGGAGCTCCCAGTGGGGCTATGAAACGTGCGAATGCTGGCACGCCACGCATCGGCGCCCACTGAGACCGTAGGCGGAGATCCCTACGGAAATGGGTGGGGCAATCGCATGCAGTCGCGCCCACCGGCACCGAAGTTGGCGCTCCCTGTGGGGCCACGGAACGTACGAGGGTGTGCCCACATGGACGCGCAGAGAGCAGAGAAAGGAGTGAGGACGAGGAGGAGAAGGAGGAGGAGGAGGAGGAGGAGGGAGAGCTGGGAGGACGCGGGGGCGCGAGGGCGCCGCGGATTCAGACGAGGACACAATTCAACACGGGAAGGTTGGGAACAAACGATTCGGGATGAAGGGCCAGCCCCCCCAGGGGGAGGGCCTGGGGCCTGGGAGCTACTTCCCTCAGGGCCCCCCCCCCCGTCCTTCATGGCGGCCCCTGGGCGGGACGCTGCATGCAGGACCAGGTGGCCACTCGCGGCCAAAGCCGCACAGACCACCCTAGCTCGCCCCTGCGCCAGAAGAAGCCTCTCGGCCCGAGCACTGCCCAAGGAAAGATGCGTGGGTACTCGGGCTGTGCTTTGCTCTGGCCATGGTCCTCTTGCTTGTTTTTTTGGTTTTTTCTTCTCTCGATCCGCACGCCCCTTCTTCTGGCAACCGCAGAGCGGCCAGATAGTAATGGTTCTAACGAGGCGTCCCTGCGCCACTTTGAGCAAGACGCTTGAGCAGACAGCGAGCGCGTCACAGCATAGTCACCGATGGTCGCTGGTGTCCCTGCTGTTGCCCTTTACGATGCTATCACCTTCGTACCATACGCCTTCCATGACAGCGACCGCTGCTGGAAGGTAGAAACATGTTCGTAATGCCAGCGTTTGCTACAAACTGAGGTGTTATTCGAATGCCCCACAGCTCTACGCCAATCGTTCGCTCCGAATCATGTCTCAATTCATGTTCCATCATTATGTGGAGCAGTTATGCCGTAAGGTTCTGAAAGCCAGACCGTTTGTTACTACACTTCTCGCTGATGAGTCCCAAACGTAATAGAATAACACAGCCGCAATTTGCTGACAGCACACCAGAAACCATTGCGCTCTTTCTCCAAGTTTCTTTTGAGTGGACGATTCCAACAAAGCCAAATCCAATTGCGAGCGAAAAGAGCATGGAGACGCGAAATATGATCAAACGCCCGAGACAACTCCAATCGAAGGTGTCGGCCAACAAAAAATCTGTCGCCTTCACTAAGTCCAGCACCCTTTGCCAACGGTTTGGCGTGGTACGCATGTCGTCCACCTCCTTAGCGACACCATCGACAATTTCACGCACGGCTACAGTGCCGATTTCCTCCACCATGGAAGGTCCAATGAAGAGCATGCCGATGGACCAAATGAAGACGCTGAATGTAGTCCAAAATCCAATTTCCATCTGCTCCGCAAAGCCGACAGCCAGGGGAACCAAACTAGCACTGGCGCATACCCGATAGAAAAGTCATCGGCCGCAAGACATAGGAGAAGGACATGTACGCACGGCAGAATATCATATTCAGATTGTAGCGGTGTGCGACGCTCAGCGTCCGCTCCAAGTGGACGTTGCTACATCCCGCCAGATTGGGGAGAATCACGCCAAGCGCTAAGTAAATGAACGCCGCAGCCCAATTGTGAAACCACTCCAGAAATTCACGCTTGATTTCAAAAACTGGCCGCGAGAAAAAGTTACTCATCAGGTTTCAGCGCTGCGGAACGAGCAGTCCATGGATCAAAAAGGATGCTGAGCTCATGCTGCTCAACGCTCCAAGAAAGAATCGACCAGAAACGCTGAGACGCGAAGAAATGTTCAGCTCCGCCAACATCGTGACCTTGAATACATCGAACACGTCGATGCCGCTAAGCATGCCTACGCGTGTCCTCACATGTGTATATATATATATATACATATATAGAGAGAAATCGTCGCCTGATCCGTCTAAGCTTTAAACTTGTTCTGCATGCAATGGTATGGCTGAGACCGGTGAATCGAAACATGCTTGTAATCTAGTGCTGGTCACCCTTTGATGTCGATCCAAATCAGTTGGTCAGGTGGAATGAGATTTGCACGGGGTCCGCCGAATTTGGCATTTACCAACACACCTACGTTGCTTCAGGCAGAATTGGAAAAGCTTTGCCACCCCAGTGAGGGGGCGAGAGTAACTTAGCCGACTGTGTCCCCGTGGAAGACTTGGGCCAAAATGGCATGAACCAAAATGGCTACTAGCCATGGTCTGCTTGCTTGTTTGTTCGCTGATCCCCTGCCGATCGAAGGCATGGACCGGCATGTGCGCTCCGCAAAGGATCGGGTGTTGCTAGAAGTGCCCCTGGGCCAAGGTGCCCCCAGGATTTTCGGGGGAGCCCAAACGGCCTCCAAAGCACCCCTCACGAGGCCCAGGGGGCCCCAGGGGCTCCAAAATGGAGCGAACAGCTGGGGGCACCTCGGGCCAGGGGTACTTCTAGCAACACCCGAGAGGAGCAGCTCCTGTTTCCCCCTCCTCGGCCGAAGGCGAACCGGGCAGCGCGTCGCGCACGTGGAAGGCCCGGACCACCAGGCGTCAAAAACCGGGCGTCACGCGCACCAGCTACCGGCCGCCCGCCCTCTTCGCCTCCCGCGGAGGGCGAGGATGTGGGGCGTGCCCAGGGAGGGGTGACTGCTGTGATCATCAGGAGGGAAAGGAGGAGCAGGAGGAGGACTGGACGCAGGGGAAACGCGGAAGCGCGGGAAAGTGTGCACCACCACCGCGCCTGCGCAGGCTCGCTCTGGGCCACACCTGAAACACGTGGCCTCGCGACATGGCCAGGAGCCGATGTGCCCCAATGACTGGCCCAACTTGGGCCTGTGCAGGCTTCGGGGTGGTGGTGTGTACTTCCCCTCTCTTCGGAATGCTGGGAAACGCTGGGACGAGGGGGGGCACCGAACGAGGCAGAGGACAGCGACGAGGATACGACATACCTAACCGCCACGAGAGATTTTCGTCTTGAGCACGAGCGACCGCGGCAACGCCGAGCGGGCCCACGTTTGCCCATAGACTCCTCGCAAGACCTCGGTCGGCCTGGCTGGGTGGGAAAGCTTTCCAACGTTCTCGCTGGGCTTGCCAGTTCGTATGATCCAAATGCGATGAAATCTCTCCCCCTGTAAATCTATAAAGGAGGACTCACTCCCGGACACGTTCAGGCTCGACTTAGGATCTCCACGTATCAAAGCACAGTGAAGCAATCACTCCCAGGCGACTTCTCACCTCTTCGTACAAACGCGTCCTAGTTAGTCGTCAACCCGAACAGACTCTCGCAACGGATGCTGCTGCGAACAGGAGGAGTATCAGGTTCAGATGTTGGCGGGTCCTGAGTCATGCGAGGAAGTTGAGAGGGGGGGGAGTTCTCGTGGCCGCCATGCTCGAGAATCGACGCATTCGGGTGTTTCTAAGCCTCTGCGGGCGAGGATCGAGGTTGAAATTGCGTCAAGCCTTCTTAGTCCTCCTGTGGCCTCCGAAAGCCGTCAGGGGCATCCAGGAAGAGAGAAAGAGAGCAAGAGCGAGAGTGGGGGTACACCTCCTTCGAGCTTTCCCACGACTGGCGGCATGCAGCTCGGGTCTCTCCAAGACAGGGCTCCCGGCACATTATTTAAAAAGCGAGCTGGCCGGCCCACACAACCCGAACTCCTGTGCGAGTGCCTTCGTAATCTACAAAAGCGCATTCGATGAGGGGGCCTTGCCGACTAACCGTCTGGCCGCCAGCGCACACAAGTCATACGAGACATCGCGCGGGCCTTGAAACACGCTGAGAGAGTTCAACAACTCTGGAAGACCGTGCGACAACGAGCCAGATGCTCTCTCTCAAAGCGACACGGGGTCAGCCACTTAAAAAGTCTGGCACATTGGACGCAGAACTGGAGGAAGTCGAGGAAGCAGAATGCGGGCATATCCGAGAACGGAAGAGGAGAAGGAAGCGGCGTGAGATGGCGAACAGAGCGTGATCAAAGCCGCTGGCATTCTCTAAGCGAGTGCAGGTCCCATGCGGCAAAGATCGCTATAAGCGTCCACCACCCTCACCACCACCACCACCATACCTTCTCCACCTCCTCCTCCTCCTCCTCATCCGCCTCCTCCTCCTCCTCTTCCTCCCCTGCTGCCCCCCTCCTCCTCCTCCTCCTCCTCCCCCTCCTCATCATCATCCTCATCCTCATCCTCATCCTCCTCATCCTCCTGCTACTACTACTACTACTACTACTACTGCTACTACTACTGCTGCTGCTACTACTACTACTACTACTACTACTACTACTACTACTACTACTACTACTACTACTACTACTAACTACTACTACTCTACTACTAACTACTACTACTACTACTACTACTACTACTACTACTACTACTACTACTACTACTACTACTACTACTACTACTACTACTAACTACTACTACTACTACTACTACTACTACTACTACTACTACTACTACTACTACTACTACTACTACTACTACTACTACTACTACTACTACGACTACTACGACTACGACTACGACTACGACTACGACTACGACTACGACTACGACTACGACTACGACTACGACTACGACTACGACTACGACTACGACTACGACTACTACTACTACTACTACTACTACTACTACTACTACTACTACTACTACTACTACTACTACTACTACTACTACTACTACTACTACTACTACTACTACTACTACTACTACTACTACTACTACTACTACTACTACTACTACTACTACTACTACTACTACTACTACTATTACTACGACTACTACTACTACTACTACTACTACTACTACTACTAAAACTAAAACTACTACGACTACGACTACGACTGCGACTATTACTACTACTACTACTA